ATTTTCCCATTTTTAATATGCCTTTTTATGTCTCGTGTTTTGCCGGGCATTTTTAACAACGGCCAACGGGTTTTTGTCTAGAATATAAGAACCCAGACGTCATCACATCAGGCGTTTTCTTTCATACCAATTACCAACCAGGGACCGAGTCGATGAAGGACAAGGGGCCAGCCGCCCCCTCTAAACTTTTGAAAAATATTTAATACGGTATTCTAATTTTTATTTATTAAAAATTTTATTTTTATAATTTGAATTTTAAGGACCACTTCAAATTTAGGAAATATATATAGAACTTAAATAAAGAGTTTAAAAAAAAAAAAGAATATGATTCAAATAAAATGAATTTTATATCAATCTAATTAAGGGGTTAATACTTATTTATCATACTTTTTAAATATTAAAAAGAAAATTATCTCAAAATTATATTATTTCAATAAAGTAATATAAAAAATGATAAAAAAATACTCTAATTCATATTTTTAAAATATGACATTTTAATTTTTTTAATGAAAGTTTATTAAAGAAAATAAATGAAGGATGCAAATATTTTTGTTTTAGTGACTGGTGTCAATTCCCAAAATTATGTACTACTCATTCTTAATATGACACAGCACTCATCCTAATGTAATGGGCGAGTACCCCTTGTACTCATAGTTTATAATACATTTTTATTCATCAAAAAAAAAATGAAGGATGCAAATAGAGGGTTTTGGCCTTCCATCATTTGCTTTCAACTTTAATCGGCGAGAATATGGGGGAAGAAATTTGAACATAAATATTAAAGTGATACTTACATATCTTGGACTCGTTAGACAGGGAATTAAACGGTCGGTATTCTCTTTTCTAATTGTTCTTCTTCTTTTTTTTTTTTCTTTTTAATGATCTCCCCGCATCTCAACCCTCTATTGTAGAAATTTTATAAATTTTCCTCACCACATCAAACATATACTTATGAGATTCGTTATTACTATAGTAACGATTAATTCATTGATATGTAATTGTTGTCTTATATAGGTTAAGTTTAATATTTAAGATTAATGATCAAATGCATTAGATGGACGTAAAATTGTGCTTTTAAAAATATACTCAAAGAAATATTAATATCTCTAAATAAATATTAATCTCAAAATATACATAAAAAAATATTAATAGATCCTTTTCCCTAATCTCTATTTACTTAAACATATATTAATTTACTTTCGATAAAAAAAAATAACTTGCGTAAAAGAATTATCATCATCATTATATATATCAGCATTATATCATTATCATTCTTATTATTGTTATTATTATAGTATTGCTTGTTGCTTCTCAATTAAATTTAGGTATATATTCGACTCCTTCCATGTACAGCTGAATTTTATAAATTAGCCTTGTGTCCAAAGTGGTCAATACCGTACCGGTCTATGTATCAATTTTGTTACTGGAATGGTACGTACTGGATATCGAAATTTTTCGTGTACCGTTTCGGATTTATCGTTATAAATATATATTTTGATAAATTAAATATCAAATTTTAAAATAATATAAGAGATACTAATATTTAAAACTATGATATTCTTATAAATTAAAAATAAGTTTAAAATGATCATTTTTAGTCTCTCAACTTTTAATATATGTATATTTTTCAGCCATCCACTTTAAATTAAGGGACTAAAAATGTGTGTATTTAGATAAATTTAACAAAATAATTGATAGAAAGACTAAAAAAATATATAAAAAAGTTAAAGGATAAAACATGTGTATATATTATGAGTTAAGGGACTAAAAATGTGTGTATTTAGATAAATTTAACAAAATAATTGATAGAAAGACTAAAAAAATATATAAAAAAGTTAAAGGATAAAAATTATATATGATATTAAAGTTGAGGATAAAAATGAAATTTATCTTTTTAAATTTGAATTGAGTTGTACAGATAATTTCTGTGTATGGCAGTTGCAGTTTATGAAGAAGCCCTTAGCCCAAAACGACGTCGTTTTGGGTTAAGGAATCTTTTTTTTTTGAATTTGCAGTGTACTGGCCAAAATTTCGATGAACCAACTGGTACATTGAAATTTCAGCCGATACATCGAATTTTGATCGAAATGATCGAATTTTGACCAAAATAAAATTTAATATTATATTATTTCGGTCAACTTTTAAAACAAGTACATACGGTACCAATTGGTACGGTATGGTACAATTTTGACTTTTTTGCCTGCATCCCTATAAATAGGTACAGGCTTTTATGACCAGCTGCAAACTTAAGAGTTAAGTGCTGACTCCAACATTTACACACTAGTGAATCAAACTCGAGAGTTATTTCTTTCCTTCCTCTTGGAGCTAGATAAATGTTACCATCAACCCTTCAAGAAAGTTCAGCAATGAAGAAAGCCTTGCTCGCTAAATTCAAAGAAAATGTTTTATCAATCCCCAAGAGCTATGTCAAGTTGGGAAAAGATGATCCAAGAAGAATAACGCACTCCCTCAAAGTTGCACTTGCCATCACATTGGTTTCAGTCATATACTATGAACAGCATCTCTATGACAGATTTGGGGTGAATGGGATATGGGCAGTGGTTACAGTGGTGGTTGTATTTGATTTTACGGCAGGTATTATACTTCACTCAGAGAAAACTTATAACACCTTCAATTCCGAGTCATGACAATTTACCTTTGTCTTAATTGTATTTAGGTGCAACTCTAAGCAGAGGTTTAAACAGAGGTTTAGCAACATTTCTCGGTGGTGCACTAGGGTTTGGAGCAGTTTCACTGGCAAGACGCATAGGCCATATCTGTGACACTCAGCCTGCAGAATGCTTTCATGGCCAAAATAAACTTGCAGAAGGCATCGTCATTGGCATCTCTGTCTTTGTAATAAGTATAGATAACAACCACTATCAGCCATTCGAAATTGATTATTAATTATCAACTGCTAGCTAGATCAAACAGGGTCTAATTATCTTCTATTTGGTTGTTACTATGAAAAAA